TGGCTTAGTGGTTAAGCATGCACGCTCCACTGCTGACGGCCCGGGTTCAGATCCCGGGCGCGCACCGCTGCACCGCTTCTCCGGCCATGCTGAGGCCGCGTCCCACATACAGCAACTAGAAGCAGCTATGACATACAACTATCTACTGGGGCTTTGGGGGAACAATAAATAAATAAAATTATTAAAAAAAAAATTGTATGGAAGGAGATGATAAAAAACTTTCTCCATTTACACTATACACTGTAAATTACCTACCTAATAACCTATGTCCATAATGACCTAATATGAAAATTAAAGTTCATATATACTGAATGTTAAAAATATTTTCCTGCCATTTAAGATGTCTAAAATACTCCATTTGAATCATGCCTGAATTCAACCTCTCCACCTACCACTACCTACGTCCTTTATCACCCTCCCTTTCTCCACTACCAGATTCCATCCAGGGTAACTAACTTGGGCAGCTTTCTTTTTTTAGGCTGAGTGACTTTAAAGATGAAGGCCAAAATAGCAAAGACTACGGTGTCTGACTATGCCAATGATAGTCACAAAACACTTGAACATCCATTATCACTTTTGTTGCTTATAACAGCCCTGCCTCAGGAGCAGACTATCACTATTTTCATTTCAAAATAGGGAAACTGAGCCTTCTTATGTTAAATTACTCACTGAATTCACAGAACCTAACTGACAATGGTACATCTCTTGACCCCATATCTCTCTCTCACCACTCCACAGCAAAAACTTCTCAAGAGTTATCTCCACCCTTATTCTCCCTGATCAACCCACTCCACACTGGTCCACAATCCACTATGTCACAGAAATTGTCCTTACCCAGGTCCACAGTCTCCAGGTGCTAAATCCAACAGCCAGTCCTCTGTCCTCCTAGCTGTTTACTCAGCAGCACCCAGGTGGTGACTGGCTGAAACACTCCTCTCTTGGCTTCCTAGACATTCTCCTGGTGGTACCTCTGCCTCACTGGTTGCTCCTTTTTCCTCCTTTGCTGGTTTCTCCTCCCCCTAACTTGTACATGTTGAACTGGCCCTGGGTTCAGTTTTCAGACCTCTACCTACTTCACCCCTAAGTTAGCTCATCTAGTCACATGTATTTATATTTCTTTTAATACCAATAATTTCCAAATGGGAATCTCCTTCCCAACCTGACTATAAGCTTCAGACTCATATAACCAACTCCACAGTTAATCTTTCCTCCTGTCATATCAAACTTTTTATTGGAAATCCTCTTAACCAGGATAAGTGGTTGGCTGAAATTTTCAAAAGTTGAAAATTCTCTAGGTGAAACAGAGAATCATTTTTTAAAATAAATAAATAAAGAAAGAACACACACCTTAAACATTTTATTTCATTTAAAACACAAAGGTTCATTCAGTAGCCAATCTTTTCATATGAATGAAGACCAAAGCCTTTTCTTTGAATGTGGGACCACAAATAAATGTTCCATATTATCTTTATTTCATAAACTATAACACACTGAATTGTCCTATGATTTCAAGTTTCATTTTATCTAAAATAGAATAAGAACATAAAGACACTAACAATTCACTCTGAATGCAGAATGTTTATGAATTTTTATGACTTTTCTCAACCTTTTACAGCTGGCTTTCCCATACATAATTCTACAGCAATTTTTTACAAACCAACTTTATAAACTAATTTTTCAAATTAGTTTTCCAACAAACAATTCTCCTAGTTTTCAAATAGATAACTCTCTTTTTAAACTCAATATTCACCAGTTTATATGAGACTAAATGAATTATGTGATTACAATGATAAAAACAACGAGCATAAAGAGGCTATTGGTGGCATAAAATTCAACTGAAAGGAGCAGAGAAACATGGCACACTAAAAGGTTGTCTATTAGCTTTGGGTGTTTAGGTTGCTACAGTGGACATCAGGTAATATGTTTTACGGTAAAAATGGAAAGCAGTGGAAAGTATTGGTTAATCTCAGTCCATTAAGGGGATATGGCCTAAGAAAGTTCTTGATTTCCACTTCCCACTTCTATCACCATGAAGCCATACCTTCTCCAGCCCTCCTCACATCAGTAAATGGCAACATCCAACTGCTAAAACTAAAAATTTTTAATTCCTCTCTCTTCTTTACCAATATCTAAGGCATCAGTAATTCCTGTCTTTCCAGGAACTCTCAAAATATATCCTAGATGTATTTACTTCTCTCCATCTCCATCTCTATCGCTCTCGGTCCAAGTTGCCATCATCTCCCAACTGTAATAACTTCCTAACTAATCTCTTCACTTCTATTCTTGCCTCCCCCTTCAATCCATTCTCCACATAGCAGCCCAAGAGAACTCTGTAAAATGTAAATGAGATAGCATTGCTTCTCTGCTTTTAACTCTTAAATGGCTACTCACTATTCAAGAAATAAAATTGAAATTCCTTGCCATGATCTACCAGATCCTAAAGGAGCTAGCACCTACCTCCCTCTCCAGCTTCATATCACACCCTTCTCCTCTTTCCCACTCTCCTTAGGCACAATGACCCTCTTCCCCATTCCTCCAATATGTCAAATTCCCACTAGAGCCACTGCACATGTAGTTCATTCTGCCTGGAACACTCTTCCACTGACTCTTCATAAAACTCACTTCTTATTTTTCAGATGTCGCCTCAAATGTTATGCACCATCGGAGAGGTCTGTGTTGATCACCCTAACCAAAGGAGTCTTCCTTTGAGTCTTCCTTCTATCTCTCACATTTAAATTACTCTATATCATATCATCTTCTGTTTTTTCCTTCATAACAGTTACCAAACACAGTAACTATTTTACTTAATTATATGCTTATGTTTCTGTTTCCATTCACTAAATGTAAAGTTGCATTAGAGCATAAATCTCCTCCATCTTGTTCACCATTATTTTCTTACTACATAGCTCCATATTAAGAGTAGCTGCTTAATAAATATTTTCTAAATAAAAAAATGAACCTTCTGAATAAGACCAGCTGAAGATATTCTCTATGAGATCAACTGATATTTCTATGCATAAAAATCCTAAACTGATATCCATGAAAAAATCTGTACATGAATGTTCATAGCAGCTTCATTCATAATAATAAAAAAAACTAGAGGGGCCGGCCCGGTGGCGCAAGCGGTTAAGTGCACGCGCTCCGCTGCGGCGGCCCGGGGTTCGCCGGTTTGGATCCTGGGCGCACACCAATGCACTGCTTGTCGAGCCATGCTGTGGCGGCGTCCCATATAAAGTAGAGGAAGATGGGCATGGATGTTAGCCCAGGGCCGGTCTTCCTCAGCAAAAAAAAAAAAAAAAAAAAAGCAGAGGATTGGCAGATCTTAGCTCAGGGCAGATCTTTCTCACAAAAAAAAAGAAAGAAAACTTTAATTAAAAAAAAAAAAAAAAACTAGAAACAAACCAAATATCCATCAACAGGAGAATGGATAAACAAATTATAGTATATTCATACTAGAGAATATCACTCAGTAATAAAAAAGAATGAACCAGTAATACAATATCTCAAAAACATTTTATGAAAGAAACCAAACAGAAAAGAATACATTTCATATGATTCCAATAAAGTTCAAGAGCAAGACAAAACATCTATGGTGATACAAATCAAAGCAGTGGTTGCCAATAAAAGGTGGAGATTGGCTGGAAGGAAGCACAAAAGAACTGGAAATGTTCTACATCTACATAGGTGTATGGGTTACATGGTTGTATACATTTATAAAAGTGATTAAATTGCTCTGTATGCAAATTTTATCACAACTTTTTAAAAGGACAAAAGTCCTAAATTTGCTCATTCAGATATCACACAGAATGAAGAAACCTGAGATACAGAACCATACTACTATCCTCTTTCACCAAGATCTACTTATTAATTTGTTCATTTGCCTCCTAAATTTCCACTCTTGTCTGGCAGAAAAATGAGAAGTTTGGACCAAAATATCTGATTAATTGTCTTATGTGGCAACATACTTGGAAAATATCTATCACTATGAAAGATGATTTATTATGCATTGCAATATGAGTAAAACATACAAAACTATGAAAAAAGAAAACATAAACCATTATATAAGCAGTTATAGAAGAACTAATCAATAAAGAATATTAATGGGATGCCAAGGTACATCAAATAACTGTGACGTGAGACACCCATCACGAACTATGTGCTAATGGACCCCCAAGCCATAAACTGAGCAAGAAAGTTGTGGTTTTCAACTTCTTTCTATCCCCCAAAAACACCTAAGAAATGCCACACATGGACTCACAATGGCATACTAATATGTGAAATGCAAACAAAGAATGTATAAGAACAAGAAACAGAGACATGCAATTAGAGTATATAAAAACCCTACATGAATTCAATACATACATTTTCTTATAACACACTCTACCCTCCGAAAAGCCATGTTAAGAATCACTATCCAGAGCTGCAAAGACCAAAACAGTGCCCATGAGCCACATGTAGCTATTGAGCATTTAAAATGTGGCAGGGCAAATGAGCAACTGAGTTTTTAATGTTATTAAATTTTAATTTTAAAATAGATATTCAATTCAATTATTGCAAAGTCTTAAGTATGTTTGGAATAACTTGTTATGTAAACCTACTTTTCCAACTATTAATTTTATGAAATATAAATACAGATCAAATATTTCCAATGAAAATTTAGTGTCATAATTGAGATGTGCTGTAAGTGTAAAATACACACTGGTTTTGAAGACTTAATACAAAAGAAAAGAAAGTAAAATAGCTCACCAATAATGTTTTCATTGGTTACATTTTTGAAGTGATATGTTGGATTCACTGGTTTAAATAAAATAATTATTAAAATCAATTTCACTGGTTTCTTTTTATTTTTTTAAATGTAGCCACTGGAAAACTTAAAAGTACATATGTGGCATGCATTACATTTCTACTGGATAGTACTATTCTAAAGCTTATATATCTGAATGCAGATTAAAGCCATCATTATGATACATTAATGATTAATATTTCAAACACCTCCTGACCTTTTCACTTGATTGTCTTCTTTTCTTTAGTTGAATGAAATCTGTTTCCACCCTTTCTGCCAGCTCTAGTTTCCTCTTGTTTCTTTTAAATGCAGCTAAACTGAATCCTATAAAAGAAATATTAAAAATAACATGTGAAAAACATTAGAACAATGGGACAGACGAGATACCTGAAGAGCCTTCTCAGGATAAAATCTTTAAGTTGGAGAAAGGGTTAAAAAAAAGTCTTTTCAATGTACATAGAGGTGGTAGGAGAATGAGAGAAATAACCTAATGTTAAAACATTAAGAAAACCATCAAATCCAGAGAGACAGGTGAGTCCTGAAGGTAAATGCTAGCCAGGGACATCTGCTAATGCATGCCCCTGCCAATTTTGGTTTTGAAGGTCTCTGTGCATAAGGGACAAAAGGTAAAACCTGGAGACAATGTAGCATGAGAAAACATATTGGAGATTATCCACAAAAAAAGTAAGGAACCCCAAAGGGGGATATGCCCAGTGAAAGGAAAACTAGAAAAAGCAACCATACACAAAGAAACATGAAACTTGCAAGTTTTAGCCTTAGCTATAAATGTAAGGGAGAAAAAGTCTCTCTAGAAAATTCATGCCCAAGAAGGGCATTCAGAGAGGTTTAGAGGAAAATTCATATTACCTGTGTGGCCTGAAAAAAACAAAACCAAAAATGATCTCAGTGTGGCAGTGCTTCAAAAACCCATCAAACACAAATGCAAATACTCCCTGGAAAAATACACCTTAACTTACCAGACCTCAGAGAATTCCTATGTTCCAGGTAACATGAGTCCATAGTTTACACAAAATTCATAAAACACATGAGAAATAGACCATCAAGAACAAAAGTCAGCCAAAAACATAAACTGACCTGCAAAGACCTCAGATACTGGAATATTCAGATACAGAATATAGAATATGTTTATACTCATAAAAATAAAAGGAAGATATTGAAAATATAAGGAACAAAGATGATAAAATGACCAGGCAGACTTGAAAAAGAACCAAATAGAGCCCTAAAAATAAAAAAATATAATAATTGAGAGGACAACCTGGTGGCATAGTGGTCAAGTTCGCGTGTTCCACTTCAGCAGCCCGGGGTTCGCGGGTTCGGATCCCGGGCACGGACCTATGCACTGCTCATCAAGACACGCTGTGGCAGCATCCCACATACAAAAATGGAGGAAGATTGGCACAGATGTTAGCTCAGGAACACTCTTCCTCAAGCAAAAAGAGGAAGACTGGCAATAGATGTCAGCTCAGGACTAATCTTACTCACCAAAAAAATATATATATAATAATTGAAATTTTAAAACTTGACATACATATTTAAACAGCCAATTAGGTTCAGCTGATAAGAGAAATTATAAACTGGAATGTAACACTGAAAAGACTACCAAAGTTTTCTGATAATGGCGGACTAAATTATTCAGAGTAATTCGCCCTCTGAACATTACTAAAAATGTTGGATAAAATATGAAAATCACCCTCTTAAAAGCATTAAGAAACTTACAAAAAGTACCAAGCTAAACTGCAGGGGTAAACTGAGGACTAAAGCTATTATTATTATTGCACCATGAGCATTTGTGAACACTAGAACACTTGAGTTTGGTTAAATGGCATCAAGGAGAGCCGTAAGTCAAGCCCACAGCCCATTAAAGGTGGGGAGTTTTATAGGAGACACTTCCCACAATAAGCTGGGGATTGAAAGGGCTAATAATACCCTCACAGAAAGGTTGATCTGGAACTATGCAAGTCCACCCCACCCTCTATCCCAATATCAAGTGTATTCAGACCAGATTGTCTTAGATCATAGCACAACAGGAAAAAAGAACAACAAGAAGGAGGAAGGAGGGGTGGATAGGAGGAATGTGGCAGTGGGGGGAGGGGGCAGAGAAAAGAGAAAATACTATCCGTGAGAAGTTTTGGGTTGACTGGGGCCCTTGCATAGAATTGCAAACATGTAGCCTGGGTGGGTCAGGAAACATTAAGCTTTCAACTAAGTTTAAGGTAGATTCTAATTAACACTGTGTGAAATAATAGAAAAAATATATATACAGGTCTCTGCCCCTGGTTCCTGGCATAGAGCTCTTAAAAATCCTTGTCATTTCCTAAATGATAAGAGCACTATGAGTATCTTTTGTTCTAATATTTGGTCTTTGACCCCAGTTCCTGACACAGAGCTTCTAAATCCCTTGGAATTTCCTGGGTGATAGAAGTGTCTTCTGTTCTATTGAGGCGACTCTTGGTGGGCTCCTGGGCTCCTGGATAGCTTCAGGATGGGAGATGGTCACCAGGAAGACCAAGCCATGATTAGAAGCTTGGAACTTTCAGCGCCATCCCCACTGTCTGGGAAGGAGAGAGGGACTGGAGATTGAGTTAATGACTGAACATGTCTACATGATGAAGCCTCCATAAATATCCTAAAAGTACAAGGTTTGGAGAGCTTTCAGGTAACTGAACACATCTAACATGCTGGGATGGTGATGCACTCCAACTCCATGAGGACAGAAGCTCCTGTGCTTAGGACCCTTCTAGACCTCGCCCTATGTATCACTTCATCAGGCTATTCATTCATATTCTTTAATATCCTTTCGTAATAATTGGTAATATAGTAAGTAAAACGTTCCTCTGAGTGCCGTGAGTAACTCTAGAAAATTAATCAAACCCAAGGAGGGGGTTCTCTGATTTATAGCCAGTCAGAAGCACAGGTGACAACCTGGACTTGCAATTGGCACCTAAAGTGGGAGAGAGGCAGTCTTATGGGACAGAACACTTAACCTGTGGTGTCTGCACTAACTCTGTTTAGAATTAGAATTGGATTGAATTGTACGACACCCAGGTGGTGTCGGAGAATTGCTTGGTATGAAAAATCCACACATCGGGTCTCAGAAGTGTTATAGAAAGTTCTGAGTGTGACAGTAGTGTGAGAGTAAAGGAGAAACATAGGAGTGTTTTTCCCATACACAGTGCACACACACTTGGCAAAAGTAAGAGCAAAAAAAAAGTGATCTGGAGAAAGACACCTTTATCTTAGGCCATGGGTGAATCTACACAAACAATTATTCAACGGCAATGATAGGCTCACAGTCAAAGATAACCAGGCACAAAGGAAACGAGGTACAAGGAATGAGAAGCAGGAAAATCAAGTCCCAATGCGGATTTCAGATACTGGAATTATCACAAACAAATGATAAAACAAGTATGCTTGTAATGATTAAAGAATAGACAACAAACATAAAAATATCTATATTTCACACTATAAAATAAAAAAAATAGAGCTTATTAAAAAAAAGAGAGAGAGAGAACTTCTAGAAATAAAAAAGCAAATAACCAAAACTAAAATCTCGAAGTATGTATTTGGTAGCTGATAGGATATAGAAAAAAGAATTAGTATATTGGAAGATGGATGAAAAAAATATTATGCAGAATGTAGCTGAAAGAGATAAAAGATGGAAAACACAGAAGAAAGGTTAAGAAACAGGGAAGATAATGTGAGAAGGTCTAATATATGTTTAATTAGAATTTCAGAAGGTGAAGGATAAAAGAACGGAATAAAGGTAATTTTTTTAATTGGATAAGAATTTTTCCAAAATGATAAAAGCCAGTAATCCACAGATTTAATAATTCCAAAGAATATCCATAAATTAAATTAAAATCATAAAAGTCCATAATAAGAAACATTAAATAAAAGAGAGTAAGAATAATAACAGAGAAAAATCTAAAAACAGCAAGAGGGGAAAAAAGACAGGCTACTTTAGAACAAGTGGCAGTTAGAATGATAGCAGATTTTTCAACAGCGACAATGGAAGCCCAAGAAGTGGACTGATTATCTTCAGTGTGCTGAAAGGAAATATCTCCTGACCTAGAACACTATATCCAGTGAAAATCTTGTTCAAAAATGACAGTGAAATAAAAATAGTTTCAGATAAACAAGAATGAGCAAATTCATCACCAGCAAGACCTGTACTAAGGAAAATACTAAAGGGTATTCTTCAGAAACAGGGAAAGCTCAAAGACAAAAAAAGGTGGGAGGGAGGGTATTAAGTGCAAAGGAAAGTATATATTTAGGCAAATCTAAATGAAATCAACTGTAATAAAACAATAATTAATGTTTCACAGTGTTCTAAATAAATATAGAGCTTAAAATATGAAAACAAAAGTTGGGAAGATGTTAAATGCAGTTCATTCAAGTATTCTATGGTCCTTGAATTGTCTGAGAAGTGATAAAAAAGTACTGTTTTCTAATAGAATTTCATAAGTCAAGTACGCATGTTGAAATCTCTAGGTTAAGTCCTAGAGAATGGCAAGAGAAGGTAAAACTAATGTATGAATAGAATGGAAAAGGTAATAATAGAAAATAATCCTAGAAAAGGCAAGAAATGGAATAAAAGGAGACATAGATCATGTGAGATAAACAGAAAGCAAAAAGTGAGAGTAGATTTAATTATCACACACACAAAAAGAGTAGATTCAAATCTAAATATATGAGTAATTACATTAAATGTAAGTGGACCTACTGTACTACTTAATTTAAAATACAAAGATTCTTCCCTAGAAAATTTTAATATACGTGTTGCTTCTAAGAGATACAAATTAATAGCCTATTAATAGATAAAAAAGTATCTGATAAAATTAAAGATTCATTTACGATTTTCAAAAATCTTGCAAAAAAAAACTTCCCTGAATATAATAAACTATAGCTACAAATTTTTAATCAAAAGCATCATACTTAAAATTAATGTCTACTATCATCACTTTTATTAAACTCTATACTGATGATCCTTTGCCAGTGTGAAAAGGTAAGGAAAACGGTATAAAGATTATAAGCAAAGAAACAAAACTATCATTTTTTACAAATGATATGATTCTGAGTTTAAAGAAATCACAAGAATCCACAGATAAATTATAAGAATGACTGTAACAGTTTAACAAGGTAGCTGGATACAAATATATACATATGCATATATCCGTATACACATATATATACATACACAGCATATATACATATATACATATAAAACGATTATACTCATTGGTAAAAATCATTTTGAAAAACACTTTGGCATCATCTGGTAAAGAGGAAGACAGGCAGACACTCTGATCCAGCAATTCTACTACAATGCATCTATCTAGAGAAAGTTTTCTGATACAAAATACAAGTCCAAGAAAATTTTTAGCAGCTGTTTGTTATAACCCTAACCTGAAACCAACACAATTGTCCACCTACATGAGGTATGTGTACTATAGTTCACAATAAAGAGGTTACAAAAGCAAAATGAAGGGGCCGGACTGGTGGCGTAGTGGTCAAGTTCGCACAGTCCACTTCAGTGACCCAGGGTTCGCAGGTTCAGATCCTGGGTGCGGACCTATGCATCGCTTACCAAGCCATGCTGTAGCAGGCATCTCACATACAAAGTAGAGAAAGATGGGCATGGATGTTAACCCAGGGCCAATCCTCCTCAGCAAAAAGAGGAGGATTGGCAACAGATGTTAGCTCAGGGCTAATTTTCCTC